AAATATAAATCTTTGTTTTACTATGGTTGCAAATATCAAAAAATTTCTATATGTGACACGGCACCAGAGTTAAGTTAGGGTTTTTCAAAATGCTGACACACCAAGCTCAAAAGGTTCGCCATCACTGGTCTAGGACATTACTGTCCACAACTGTAGGCTTTATAAGCTCTGCCCCACAAGCCCTCTTCCTGCTTCCTTCCAAGAGGGTCAGAAATAGAACAGCAAAGCTGTCAATGCTACTCCATGAACAGGGAGTATGGGCTGGGATGATTGGAAATAGTGAGGAGAAACTGGGTGTATTTGGTGTAGATCACCCTAACAGTGACTGTCAGCAAGGAGTGAACGGTGGCCTGAGGATCAGTAGGAATAAGAAATCAAGACGGAGACATGAAGGATCAAAGGGGCTTGTCATGGCCATGTGGTCTGGTTATTGATGTTGGAGCAGTGGTCAGATTAAGGAACTTTGTGGTAATCATAATAAAGAGGGTACTTAACACGGAGAGGGGGTAGAACTCAGGACTCAATATTTGAGATGGGAAATTTGTTTTTGGTTCCATTGACCCCATCTGGGACAAAGAGCTCTCTCTGGCATGGAATGAATGGAAGAAATAATACTTATGAATGCTTTATATCCTTACAACCCAAAAATATTTCCAAAATACAGGGACGGGCTCTACATGACCACAGAAAGCTTTTACCACAGTGTCAGTGGCACTTAATTCTCATTAAGGTAGCTCTTGTGGATCTGTGTTCTTGTACAGGATCAACAAGATTTTACATGGTCTCATCACACTAGACCTGGAGGGCTGTAGCACCCTCTGAATATATAGCGCTAGGAGGACAGGCTCCTCACACTGAAATGGGTCAGTAGCTGACTGCTTGGGATGTAATCTGTGCACCCAAAACTAAGGTGTAGTGAGTGAGAGGGAATCTATTCCCAAACCCCACAGATATTGCTCCCAAGAGAGAAAAAAGTCCTCCTGAACAACACATCCTTCCGTTTCTTACAGGAAATTCAGCTCCATTAGAATCTTATGGGACCACCACCGAATGTGCGGTCCGTCGTTGACTGAAACATCGCTTAGTGGTGCATGGACTGTGTTGATCTATCGCTAGTTAATCTATAGACCTTATTCAGTTTGCCAATTGTTCTGTTAATTCTTTTTAATTGAAAAAAATCCATTTTTTAGCAAAGGATTAAATACAGAAAATGCGCCCTTTTAAGTACATACAGTTCCATGAGTTCCAGCAAATGTTTAGGGGACCTCTAATGGTCTGGGCTGAGGATGGTTTCCCGACCCTCCCCAAGGAATAAGACATCTCTAAAGGACTTGGCCCAGGATGCATATCTGCAGGTTTTATTCTATTTTCTTCTCCCAGCTGCCACGGGTTGTCATCTGTGCCCTGAAAATGACAGTGTTCGCTGTGCTTACCCCAGCAGCTTAAGATTTTTGTCCCATAAGAGAGCTTTGTGCTTTTCCCTGGAGGGCAGCTGCTGCCCTCTGCTCCATCTGCACCACTGGGAGCTTCAGGACCTGCCCTGCCTCAGTCTTTCTCTTGAGCATTGGCGAGGTCCCCAGAGAAAAGCCTGCGAGGGGATATGAATTTCCCTTGTGCCTGAAGCTCCTAGGGGTTCTCCCCTCTTACACTAGCTACATTCAGCCTTTAGCAATTTGTTAAAAATGTTAGTTGCATTCGTCTTAGCAGGGTGTGTGACAGCTGGTGTTTCTGGCAGGAAATGAGTGGCAGTGTCCTACCTCTCCCTGGAGGAGCCTGTGTCCTTAGACTTAGAGTTAGTTGGTTGCCTTGCAAACACAGCTCTATGACAGATTCGTGGAAAGTTGTGATTTCATAGATTCGTTAGCATTTTCTGTTATTTTAAGAATGAAAGTGGCCTATTTCCGGTTTTCTACCTCCTAACTAGAAGACAGACATCTATTTTATATTTTTTGATCATCTGTGAATTTTACCTTACTGAGAAAACATTTGGAAAGAAAAACTATTATTTCCTGACATATCAGTAATGAAAAAAAATCTATTAAAATAGTCAGGTAGTTGGGCATTCTCCTTGGAAAGTTCTCTCCCAGAGAACAGGCGATCATATGAAAAATTAAAAAGATCGTGTCTTTAAACAGGAAAGATCCAAGAGTAAGAAGCTGGCTGACATTTAGATGTAATTATACCTTCAGATAGACAGGTTCTTTCCTGCAGTTGCTTCTGACTCATGCAGAAATCATTGTATGTCATTTTCCTGACCCTTGTAAGGAAAAAAAATCTGATTGGATAGCATTCACCTCTGCAGAGCTGAGGCATGGACTTACTTGCTAAAGGCTTTTAGCTAGAGAGTCTGCTCTGAAAATTATATAAAGCCTGAAAGTATTTTGAAGGTGAACTGGTGATTAAACAGTGGAGAAAGGCCTCTATTATAGGAAAACCCAGCTGCCTGGAATAGTTGCAGTGTTCACAATCCTATATAATAAAAGGGTAATATGCAAATTGACCCTAACTATGGAATGACCAGGAATGACTGGTCACTATGATGTGCACTGACCACCAGGGGGCAGACGCTCAATGCAGGAGCTGCCCCCTGGTGGTCAGTGTGCTCCCACAGGGGGAGCTCCGCTCAGCCAAAAGCCTGGCTGACGTCTGTCCTACTGCAGCTTGTTGGACATCCCCCAAGGGTTCCTGGGCTGCCAGAGGGATGTCTGACTGCCAGCTTAGGCCCGATGCCCTGGGGAGCAGGCCTAAGCTGGCAGGTGGACATCCCCTGAGGGGTCCTGGACTGCGAGAGGGCACAAGCCGGCCTGAGGGACACCCTCCGAGTGCATGGATTTTCATGCACCAGGCCTCTAGTTATATATAAAATGTCTATACTATGAAGTAATGCAAAATAAATTCCTGAACATGATGCTGATCCTAACATGATAATTGGCTACTGGGAGGTTTCCCCCTCGAGGCACCTCAACGAAGCCACAGCAGCTTTTAACTTTGTTAGGAAGTTGTGTCATTTCTTAAAAGCAGCTAGTCAGTCATAAACATTTATTGAACATTTTCCATATCAGCTACTGTAGGAATCTGAAAGATTGTAAAAGAAATAATTATGCTGAATAATTGCCAGAGAGTATTGATTCCTTTCTGGACCTACTTTGGCTAAATATATAATTACCAGTGAAAATTCACCATCACACAACAATCCCAGCTCCTGTGACTGTCACACTATTCTGGCCTTTGGGGTGGGGACAAAGCCAAGCATAGGTGTCTTTTAGTGTTCTCCCATGAACCTCTAGTCTCCCTTACACTTGGCTAGGAACCCTCTTGACCCCTCGACCAGTGGCCTCATGCATCTACTTGACAACCCCAAACTACCTTGTAACCAGGTACATGGTTAAATGAAGAAGTCCTCAGTCACCTACACACACACACACACACACACACACACACACACCCCTACCCTAGACAGTGGAAAACAGAATGGGATGGGGCCCAGGAGAAGGGGCGAACGAGTAAAATAGAAACGTAGGCCTTCCTCCTCATATTTCATTCGTTGTGACTTATCAAAACTTTGAGGTTTCTCGGTTCTCACTGACAGTCAGAGCGGGCTTTCTCTAGAGTAACCAAAAGACGCGGGTTTGAAGAAACCTCGAGCGCTTCACATCGAGATGAGTCAGTGGAGGATGGGCGGTGCATTCGTTGGACCCTGAAGAGAGTGTGGTTAGGGCAGAACACGGACAGCAGCTCAGGGGCTCCCGGGGTGGTTCAGCCAGAAAGGGGAATGAGAGAGAGGAACTATGATGGTGTACAAGTTTAATATAATGGTGTGTATATGAATGTTTATCTTTTTCCCTGTGAATTGTGTGCGTCTACAATATTTCATTATAACATTTTAAAAAAGGATTTTATTGACTTTAAAAGCTTGAAAGCTCCTGCATGAACTAGAAAAGGAGGCTCAGGAATACTGATACTTAAAGTCACACTGGTCTCCAACAGTATGGTCATTACCAGAGTGAAAGGGGGTTGGGGGAGGTAAAATAGAGTAAAGCAGGAATAAATGGTGGTGGAAGGAGACTTGACTTAGGATGGAGAACACACGATATAATATGCAGATGATGTATTATAGAATTGTGCCCCTGAAACCTATATAATTTTATTAACCAATGTCACCCCAATAAATTCAATTTAAAAAGAGTTACAGCAGTCTCCAAGCAAGCCTCTGTGGCCCTTTTCAGGAGTGGCTTCTAGAGCCCATCCTGCCTCCTAGAGTTGTGGCTCTCAAGCCTCTGCAAGCCTATAACAAAATGCATATTTGACCACTACCCCCCTTGATTCTCATTTAGTTGGTCTTTTTATTAAGCATGCCAGTGATCCTAGTATAATACCTTTGAGAAAGATGCTGAAGGTAAGCAAGCAAATCAGATCCCAGGAGCCCATGGTCCTTCAGACCTTTGCCACAGACTCATGGCTATTAATGGTCTAGAGCAGTGGTTCTCAACCTTCTGGCCCTTTAAATACAGTTCCTCATGTTGTGACACAACCATAAAATTATTTTCGTTGCTACTTCATAACTGTAATGTTGCTACTGTTATGAATTGTAATGTAAATATCTGATATGCAGGATGATCTTAGGCAACCGCTGTGAAAGGGTCGTTTGACTGCCAAAGAGGTTGCAATTCACAGGTTGAGAACCGCTGGTCTAGAGAGAAGTACAGGTTGCATATAGGATCCAAGCAGCATCAGTATGATGACTCTTCTCATTAGTGATTATTACTGTGTCATGATCAACATCATGAAAACGCTTTAAACCTGGGTGATTTAAGTGGAGGGGCAGGTAGGGGAGCAGGAGATAATGTTAAAATATGCTGGGAAATTTTAAAAACAACTCCTGAAATGAAGACATTGTAATTTTTCAAATTAAGGAGCACTAAATTTAGATAAATAGATCCATGTTGTTAAAATTATCAGGGAAAATGAACAGGAACATTCCTTTCTCATATTGTGTGTAGGGGGAGCAAGGACCTCAAGGCTTTCCAGGACCAAAGGGCATGGCAGGCCATGGCTTCCCTGGCCAGAAGGTAAGCATTTCAGACCTTAAAAAATCTCAACTGCTTAACTTGAACTTGAAGAGCTCTCATATACTTGTTACTCTTCTCCTTACAAATTCTCAGAGGGAAAAATCCATTTGAAAGTAAATCCTTATGTATTTCCTTTCCTAACTTACAAACATGTTTACTTTATAAAATCTCATTTCCTTCATTTCTTAAAAGCCAGCTGATAAAAGAATAAACCCTTACAGCATAGCATGTGGAAGATACTAGATAACTCAGGTGTAAAATTATATAATAGCTGGTCTCCAGAGGCCAGTGAGCTGAGCCAATGGTATCTCAAGGTCTCCTCACTTTGAGAGCTCTGGTTCATGATGAATTAGATTATGGTATCTGGGGGGCGGGGGGTGTAAATAAAATGCCCCCATTTTTCTCCTATCAGGCATCTATAGTTATAAATAAACAGAATTTCAGAGTTTTTATTATTTGGATTTAATATTCACATTCTAAACTTCTCTTTTCACTATATTTTAAAGGGAGAGCATGGAGAACGGGGCGATGTGGGGAAAAAAGGCAATAAAGGGGAAATTGGAGAGCCCGGATCACCAGGAACACAGGCAAGAAGTGATTTTTAAAGTCTTACTGTAATTATATAGGTTAACTACGTAGTTCCTATGTTGACTCCTATTCTTCTTCTACTAAGCAGGGGTTACAAGGACCAAAAGGAGAGCAAGGCCTTACAGTGAGTACCAATCCTAGAGGCTAATTGAGGGTTTGTGCTTGCAAAATTATTACATTCAGGTTTTAGCTTTAGAACGATGAGTTCTTTTGATGCAGAGTTCCCATTGCTGTTTAAATGACAGCACTGCTAACAACCCCAATGTTGACATAGATGCACGAGGTAACTGAATCTAAATGTGAAGGAGAAATATCACCCAGCAACCCTCACCTGGCCTTGTGATGGAGACCTGTGACTGCTCCCCCCTGATCCCTGGTAGATGAATGTTAACAAGGAAGATAGCTGTTTACAAGAAGCCAAATGACCAAATGACTTCACATTTCAGAACGGGGGCTCTTTTTTCCTCCGCCAGTTTCTTTAGGACCTCCGCCAACTTTAGGAAGTGCTCTCAGAAGGGCAATCACAGTATTTTTATGTACTGATTCATGAATTCAAATATTTGTGAAGCATCTACTAACTGTTCCCTACTCTCTCTCTACACCACTGAAACAAAAAAGCAATTCTTTAAAGTCCCACAGGGTGGAAACATTCCAGAATTTTTTACAGCAAAGTCTAACTCTTCCTTTCTGAATTGAAAGCCCCATATCTTCTGGAGTAGAGAAGAAATAGGGACTTTCTCTTTTTTTCCTTTTTGATTTTTTTTTTTTTTTTTTTTTTTTTTTTTTGGTGGATCATGGTCTGGGGATGCTGATCCTAGGTACTGTGCTGGGAAAAACCAGGTGTGACGGGGGTGGGAGCTCTGGTAGTAAAGGTGAGAGATGAGAGCTGGTTATGTGACCAACAGAACTGCACTTGTTTTTTTTATGGCCCATCTGCCTTTATCTCGTTGTTCTTCCCCACCACAAGTCAGCCCCCTCTCGTGCCCAAGATGTCTATGGTGGGTGAAACAGCTGCATACGCAGCAATTCCTCCCCAAAAGTAGCAGGGGAGAGTGTATGGAAAATGCCCAGAGGAATGGTCCCCATAGCTTTGTACCTCCCTCCTGTTCCAACATGGGGAGGGGAACGGGTTTCCTTCATCCATTCATTTGTTCATTCACTTCACCAACATGTCTTGGGTGTGTACTCCAGGTCAGGCTCTGAGAGAGACACGGGGAGAAAAGCAGAGAATAAGATACTATATTTCTGGACTCAAGGAGCTCATGCCCGGTAGAGAGAGAGACAGACAAAGAATGTTCACCTAAAGTTTGGTAAATGCTGTGATAGAAGTAGGTATGTGGGTCTGGAGCAGACAAAATGATCTCTGATGATGTTTGCATGCAAGATGGGTTTTTAATCTCTTAAACAGAAGGTTTTTAAATAAGAGGCAGAGATCTTAGAAATGGAGATATGATTCTTCTGACTTTGACTTTCTGGATTCTAGAAAAAGGGACTAGCAGGAAGGGATGAGTGAAAAAAGAGAGGATTTGTATTCAATAAAAATCTGGAATGTGACCTGGACCATGTTAGGCTCCTTCATATCAGTAGCATCCTTACCCAGGACTGTAGGGTGCCTGGGGCCCATGCTTTAGAGGCCCACCTCTGGACCTCCAGCCCTTCTCTAGCTACAATCTTTCCCCCAGGGGAGGAGTCCTCATGGCCAATGGGCGCAACCACCCTGAGCACTTGCTTCCTCTGTACTACACTCTGGATACACAGGATCCCAGAATTGCTTGCCCAAATGGCCCCGTTGGAGAGCTGATGGCACTGGCCTGTATGCATGGGCCCACCCAAGAGGGGATTTGAACAGAGCTTGGAAGTGAGGACTGTGTTCACCCTATGAATGCTAGCCATGCCCCTTGCAGCTTAGGACTAGTGAAGATGGAGTGCAATAAGAAGGGGTCATACTACGGGCCACAACCCGCTCTTGCCCAAGACTCCACATTTCCACATGTCAGCTCCATGAGGAAGGTAGTAGTATTATCTCCCTTTACATGAAGACATGCTAAGTCAGACAGAAAGCTTGAGCAGTATGCCCGAAGTCATCTTGCTAGCAAGCAGCAGAGCCCTTATAGCCAGATAGGCCTGTCTGATGCCAAATGCAGTCTGCTCCCCCATGATAGCTGTTCTTGGCAGGCCCCTTTCCTCTCCCTGCCCCTATTCTCTCCTGATCAAATATATTCCCAAACAGTTATCAGTTGCCTATTCATTAGAGACTAACAAACTCCTCTTTTAAGGGGCTGATACCATTGATGGAGTTCAATGTTTTCATCTTTATGCCAAATTGCTTCAACAAGACTGTTTCTCTGCTTGTTCCTTTCCCGAGCTGGTTTGGCTCAGTGGATAGAGCATTGGCTTGCAGGCCCGAGCTGGTTTGGCTCAGTTGATAGAGCATTGGCTTGCAGACTGAAGGGCCAGGTTTGATTCCAGTCAAGGGCACATGCCCAGGTTGTGGCTCCATCCCCAGTGGGGATGTGCAGGAGACAGACAATCAATGATTCTCTCTCATCATTGATGCTACTATCTCTCCCTCTCCCTTCCTCTCTGAAATCAATAAAAATATATATATTTAAAAAATTATCTCCTTTTAAAATAAAAGTGTGATCAGATCACTTCTCTGCTTAAGGCCATATATCTTCTCATTGGCCAGGATATAGTCCGCTCTGCAACATGACACAAAGACCTTTTAGAGTTCATCTGTCTTCCATATCTCCTATTATTCTTTCTGCCACTTACCTTGGGTCATAAGTTTACTCAAGGACTGTAATGCACTGTGCTTTGTGTGCTTTGTCCCCTGCCTGGAACACTCCTCTTCCCCCCATCTCACATCCCATCCTAATCTGATCAGAGTCTTCCTCCCTGGACCACAGTTTCACCCCCACTCTCCCACCCCTGGAATTCCCTGCAGACCAACATGGTTCCTTGGTCAATCTAACAGCATAGTACTTACAAAAATATTTGTTTGTCTGCTTCTTACTTGACTGTGAATCTTTTGAGGGGTATAAATTTGATGCCTTCATCATTGGCAACAAATAAAGTAGTTATTAGCAATTTTAGTGGAAGGGATGAAACTATTCCAGTCACGTAAAAGCAAAGAAATGAGAAAAAAAATGATATACACATATGGTTACTTAAAGCATTTCAGACCTGGTTATCCAATAAAAGCCCACTGAAAATAATTAAAATGCAATTTTGATATAAAAATTATTCTTACAAGTAAATAAAAGAAAAATATTCTAACAAAAAAAATGGACAAAGAATATATAAAGACTGTGCACAGAGAACACAACTTGGAAACATGTGTATAAATAAAATTTAGCCTAATAATTGAATAAGTATAATTTAAAACAATGAAGAAGAGATAAACCAAAGAACATATATACTTATATGCATAGCCCATAGACAAGTGCAAATAGGGTAGTGAAGACCTACGGGGCGGGGGGTATGAAGGGGCTGGGAGGAGAGGGATAGGAGGCGGATAAAAGGGGGAAAATGGGAGATATCTATAATACTAACAATAAAAAATATATTAAAAAATAAATAAAACAATGAGATAGTTTGCTCTATCAAATGCCAAAGATTATGCAATAATAATAACCAGTATTGTCTGTCTAAAATAAACAGGTTTTCTTCTATACTCTGTTAGAGTTGTCATCACTACAACTTTTCTGCAGGGCAATTTGGCAGAATGCATCAAGAGCCTTAAAATGGCCATGCATTTGATGTCAGTAATCAAGTAATATGGAAATTAACTATGATATCACATTAAATGAAAAACTATAATTATAAAACTTGGTATATAGTATTCATTTATAAAAAATTAAACATAAATATATACATTTCCCCTTTCTAGACTCATTCTAATTTCAGATTTCTTAAATGCCTCAGTAAATGTAAAAAAGCAAGACAAGGCCTGAAAAAAAATAACTGTTGACTTTCTCATTTTTATATAATTTTATTAATATTGTATTGGGAGTTCTTTTAAAATAGCCACTTGGAATCATTGGCTTCTACTTAAATTATAGTGTAAAAATATTAAATTTAAATGCCCTGAATATTCCCCATACATGTTTCTGTTAAGTCATGTCACCAGCAATGTCACCTTCACCCCAAGTCTGTCATTATAGATTTTTTTCTTTAAAACTTTACTTTGCAACTGTTAAATTTTATCTTCTTAGATTAGGTCCATCGCTCCTTCCTGCTGAGATTTTCTGGGCTCCTGTTTCTTTCATCTATGAGTTAATCATCACTGTCAGCTCCTGTCTTTGGCAAATGTACAATCCTGCCTTCTCTAGTCTCATCCCAGTTATCTGAAAGCATGCTACTCAGGGCGGGGCCTCAGCAGATTTACTTCTGGTACCCACTCCCGCTGGGCCCTTCTGAGGGAGCTGATGGGCAGCAGGACCGGGAAGCAGCATTCAGAACACTGGGACATTTTGTGAAAGAGTCAAAGAGAGTATTAGGAAACAGGAGAGGGGACTTGCACAATTGGGGAGTGGTGCAGAAAAAGAGGAGGGGATACAGCATAGAATATACTGTTTTTTGGTCCTGGTGTTTGTCTTGGCTGCTCAGTACTTGTGGGTTAAATCATGTAACTGTTTGCATGCATGGCTCATACCACTGTAGGTAGTACCAGTGGTGCCCCTTATCCACAGGGAATATGTTCCAACCCGCCCCCGGCCCCCCCTGTCCCAGTGGATGCCTGAAACTACAGCTAGTACCCTATATATACTATGTTTTTTCCCTATACATACCTATGATATAGCTTAATTTATAAATTAGACATAGCAAGAGATTAACAATAAAACTAATAATAAAATATAACAATTATAACAATCTACTGTAATAAAATTTATGTGAATGTGATCTCTTTCTATCAAAATATCTTATTTTACAGATAGAAGATTCACTCTTATTGTAGGTCTTAGCAACCTCAACTTAGGATTTTTTTCCCTGATTAAGTGGAGAATTTTTACCTTTTTCACTTAAAGGACGCAGTTTCTGGTTTCTCTTTGGCATATCCAAATTTGCAGTATCACTACTTTTGTGCTTTGGGGCCATAGTAAGTAAAATAAGGGTTGACAGTCGATTTGACAACCAAGATGGCTACTGAGTGACTAATGTTTGGGATGGGGGGCAGGGAGGAGGGGTGTGGGGGAACCATATACAAAGTGGATACTCAGGGAACAGGGATGAATCACACCTCGGGCGGGATGGAATGGGACAGCGCGAGATTTCATCTTGCTACTCAGAACAGCGCACAGTTTAAAACTTATGACTTGTTTATTTCTGGAATTTTCTATTTAATATTTTCAAACTGCAGTTGACTGCAGGTAACTGAAACCATGGAAGGTAAAACCATGGGTGGGGGTGGGGAGTCCTTTTCGGGACCAGATGCTGTGGGAAGAGCTCTGTGTGTGTATATCCTGTTAAATCCATCCACAGCCCTAAGACACAGACACTGTTAAATTACCTAATGCCCAAGGTCATACAGCTAATAAATGCTGGAGCCACAATTTGAATTCCGAAAGTCTGAGGTATTACATTACACAACTCAAACACATTTAGTTATGATACATTACAACCAACTTTTAACCTCTGTGCTACTTATTTTCTGGAGTGGAAGCATTAAATCAAATGACCCAATGCTGATTGTAATAAGACTTATCTTTTATGACTATAGGAAAAATACTATGGTCATACTATTAATACATATTCTTTTTTTTCCTCCAGAAAGAAGAAGTTATCAAACTTATTGTTGAAATATGTGGTAAGATTTGACTATAAAAAAAAAACCTTTAAAGTACCAATCCCGTTGTGTTCTGTGTTGGTCTAGAGATAATGTGTTCACCAGAAGATGTATATTGTGTAGCTCATGAGAATGTTTGAAGCTCATTTGAAAAGTCAGTAGGAAACTGAAAGGAAGCATTGAGAGGGGCAGTGGGAATCCTAATTTAAGAAAAGAGAGTAATCTTCCTGGTGATTAAGAAGTGTGAGACCTGCCTGGAGTCAGTGGGCAGCCAGGCATTCTGTAAGCCCAGTGTCATTTATCTTCAGAGACATTTATCTGAGCTTGGGAAGAAGAAAGCAACAAAGGAAATATGACCACAGGGGCCTAACTGGTATCTGAGTCCAGCCTGGCTGGTGATGATCATGTCTGTGTTTTTCCTGAAGCAAGTCTTTCTGAATTGAGATTTGAGCACTATTTCTAGAGTGCATCCACCCAAAAGGCAGGAAGACAGTCAGGAGGTCCTCTTGCTTTACAACTATTTTTAAATACCTCTACATGTTTAGTCAAATACATTAGACTTAAAATAGAGTTACCAGAGAGAGGAAGTAAAGCAGTTAGCCCAAAGGCAAGAGATTAATGGAATAATACAGACAAGTGAATCTTCTGTGTTTAAACAGGACAGGTGCAGGAATATCACTGTTCTTCCATACAGAGACCCCAGAACTGGCTTGTCACCCCAAAATCCTCTGGACTTTAAGAACCAACCTGGGACTCTACATGTTGTGGTGACAGGCCAATTTAGACATGATTTCTGAGTTCTAGAAGCTCTGTAAAAATTGCAACTTTCCTCATGATTTTTTGTGGTAGGATTGTTGGGCAATAGGAGGATGAATAAACCAATGGATCCCTGATAATTCTTAATGCCTGGGGACTCTGGCAACTGCCCTGAATGATAAACCCTAAATAGAAGTTGTTTATTGACTAGCATTCTCATTACCCTCAAAAGGTTTCATAGTATGGTATGAATGGATGGATGGCCTCATCGATAAGATGGGAGCCACTTTAGTGGACATAGTGGGCAACTAGGAACATAAACTAGAGTAGCTCTTTTTTTTTTATTAACCACATCAATGTGTTTATTTTTTTAACTAGAGGCCCGGTACATGAGATCCGTGCACTGGAGGGAGGGAGGGTCCCTCAGCCCTGTCTGCACTCTCTCGCAGTCCGGGAGCCTGCAGGGGATGTCCGACTCAGGGCTTAGGCCCGCTCCTCCCGCCACCACTGCTGCACATGCCAGCCATGAGCCCAGCTTCTGGCTGAGTGGCGCTCCACAGGGGATGTCCGACTCATGGCTTAGGCCCGCTCCTCCCGCCACCGCTGCTGCACTTGCCAGCCATGAGCCCAGCTTCTAGCTGAGTGGCGCTCCCCCTGTGGGAGTGCACTGACCACCAGTGGGTAGCTCCTGCATTGAGCATCTGCCCCCTGGTGGTCAGTGCACATCATAGTGACTGGTCATTCTGCCCTTCGGTCGATTTGCATATTAGCCTTTTATTATATAGGATATTTATTAAATTGATTGGGGTGACATTGGTCAACATAAACATATAGGTTTAACATGTAGGCTTCTATGTTATAAGAGCTGTATATTGCACTGTGTGTCCTCCACCCAAAGTGGACAATTCTTGTGTACAATTAAAAGCCCTAATCCTTCCCCCATGATTAAAATTTTTCATCGCATTACTTTACCCATTGGCCATGCCAATGAGCTAATCTCTGTTTTCATGTAAGGATGAAGTTGAAGACTGAAATATTAGCTTTCAGATTCAGATTAAATACAAATGGTGGAATGACAAATTTAGGAGAGTGTAATCTCTTAGGGAGGGGGGAATGTAATCAGGAAGGCAGACACAGAGGATGCTGACTCTTAAAAACATTTTAGTTTTTAATCTGAGAAACTGGAACATAGTACTTATTATTTTATCATCTACAGTGTTTTATGTGTTTTTTAAAAAATGAATTATTCTTTTCAAAGAGTCAGGTATAGAAACCAGATGGGAAACCAGTTGTCAGCTGTGTCCACAGTCATAGGAAAGGAAATAATCCAGGTCTCAGGTTCACCTGTGCCCATTCCTCCCCACCCCCACCAACCTGCTATGAATCAGTGATGTTTAGAGTTTCATTCCTACAATGTTTCTGTCTCGACATTCATCTTTTAGGTTGTGGGCCCAAATGTAAAGAGACTCCACTAGACCTGCTGTTTGTGATTGACAGCTCAGAAAGTGTGGGGCCCAACAACTTCGAGATCATCAAAAATTTTGTGAAGACTCTGACTGACCAGGTGGCTCTGGACCTTGCCACAGTCCACATAGGCATCATCAACTATAGCCATAAGGTGGAGAAAGTGGCTCCTTTGATGGAGTTCTCCAGCAAGAATGACTTCAAGCTGGCTGTGGACAACATGCAGTACCTTGGGGAAGGCACCTATACGGCCACAGCTCTCGATGAAGCCAACCAAATGTTTAAAGCTGCAAGGCCAGGTGTAAAGAAAGTGGCCTTGGTCATCACTGATGGGCAGACAGATACCCGAGATAAAAAGAATCTGACAGAGGTGGTGAAGAATGCCAGGGACACCAAAGTGGAAATATTTGTGATAGGGGTGGTGAAGAAAAATGACCCCAACTTCAAAATGTTCTACAAAGAAATGATTCTAATTGCTAATGATAGTAATCATGTTTATCAGTTTGATGATTTCATTACCCTACAAGGTAAGACTCAGCTCCAGGGGAAAGGCACTTATGCTGTTCTTCCAAGTACCATGTCACTGGATTATCTTGAGAAAACATGGAAATTGGGAGGCTAGTGAGACTCGTGCAAACATTAAGTTGTAACACACACACTCCAGAAGGTTAAAACACTTAGTACCATCCCATTTCGAGAGTATAATCCCTTGTCTTTATTTATTAGTGACAAGTGCTGAGTTAGTTGGTCTTGGAATTAACTTGAGTATCTATGGTTGAGGGACATGGATGAAAAGAAAGAACAGAACTTGGGGGTATTGCTAAGACTAATGTTCAAAAAGTTACCTAACCTGAATAAGAGATGGAGCAAGCCAGCAGCAAGGCAGACAATAACTTTAGAATCAAAATTAATTAAGAAGTGCATGATGAATGAAAAAAAAAATTATGGTAATCTAAAGAGAAGAGAGACACAAGGGGTTATTCTAGTTTAATCTCTGCTCTTATGAAAATGGATAATAGGTAAACAAGTTGATGTCAGGACTATCTTACAGAACACCATTTTGAATATTCAATCAGTGCTAATGAGCTAGGTTTCCCTATGCTCCTTTACCCTTTCACATGAACTGAGGTCTCTTAATGAGGCAATCTAAGACCCTGTCTCACCTATGGTTGAAGGATGATCAGTATTGCTTTACAATGAAACATGTTCCAACTATTTGGAAACTGATCATTCATTCCGGCAGGACCCCCACCTGGCAAGATTGGGAAGGAAGGAAATGTTATGCTTAATGTGTTTGCAGGCTTCGGTTTAGCACCATCCTTCCTTCTCCACACCCTGGAAGTGGGGCCTGACATGGGCTAGCACAGACCCTTCTTGTCTAGCATAGACCCTGCTCCCAACCCACTCTGGGGACCAGCACGGCTGGCCCTAATGATAGCATACCATACTTACACCTCCGCATAGTCTAGTTTCCCTTTTCTTCAGACCTTTCTAACCTGGGGTCCCAATTCCTTGACACCCAGTTGGGTGACTAATGGGTTTGTCTGATATATTCAATCTCACTGGGCTGTTCATATGTTAGAATGACCAGAAGTATTACACATTTCAGAGACAAGTTCTATTTTAATAATTGAGGAGCTTTATCATCTAAACCCAAGGGTTAGTAATGTGTTCCAGCCAGAGAGGGATATATTTGGGGGCTGGCTGGCCTTATGCTACTCTTAACCACCCATTAAACTTAGGAAGGGTGAGACTTGCCCCTTCCATGGAGTAGTTCATAGTTAATTGATGCTTTTGATAAGCATGCATTTAAGTCATCCTTTTGCTTATTTGGCCCTCCTTCATATTTTATTACATTTAATTAAATTATTTTAGATGGCCTCTCATAGATGATGTAAAAATGTTTTAAAATGTAGTTCACCTAGCAGCTGACTTCATGTGATGGGAAAGTCTGTTTATTTTAAGGAGAATGCAGATCTCTTTAAACAGGGTTTGAGTAATGTTCCATTGCTCCTAAGATGTCTCTTTTCTACTTCTCTTTTAAAAGACACCCTGAAGCAAAGACTGTTCAAAAAACATTGTCAGGATTTTGACTCCTACCTCATTGAAGTTTTGGGTTCATCGCCACTTCAACCTGGATTTGGGCTGTCAGGGGAAGAACTCGGTGTTTCCACTCCAGAGCCCCAGAAAGAAATGTCTGAATCAGTAAGTAACTGTCCTGCTTAATTTGCGAGCTTAACATTGTGTTTTCTGTCTGTTTGACATCAAAGAACATCTCGCTTTGCACTGCCAAGAATCAGCTGAGGTGTGTGCATTTTCCAGTTCTTGGCCCTAAATATTAGCTCTTTGTCTCCAGATTTCTAGTTCTGAAATAGCTCTGGGGCTTGTGAGCATGAATATGAGATTTCTAAATATCTCTATATTTTATAATTATTTATTAAATGTTGCAAATAATATTTTTATATTAGACCCCTGCCACCACCAAAGCCATAACAGGCACTTGAACAGATGAATACTATACGATTTGAATCACCCACTTGCCATGCTTTGCAGATCCTTTCATACCAGGTCACAACTCTTTCTTGTCTGTCTGTGTATCCACTGCCCATTTTGCATCCTCTCAGGTTTCTTCAAAGTGTACAATATTCAACCTGCCACTATGCCCCAAACCAGGCCACATTCTTAGCTCATTTCTTGTGATCAGAGCAGGGACTGGGAGGGAGGCTATGCAGGCATATGGTGAAAGGTAGATGTTCTGTTTCATAGCAACAGAAAGAACTACCTCCCAGATGTATTGAGACAAATGTGACTGTCATAACTATCTTCTGGGCACTAACCTCAGCCAATCAGGTTAGAGCAATTATTAGGTTCTTTTAGGTCAAAACTGGAGAGCCTCCCATAATTACTGGCCAGTGGGTGTTGTAGTCTCTTCCCCACCAAGTCACAACAAAGCAGACCCTGACTCATTTTTACTACACAAATGGACATCCTCTAGCAAGCAGGCACATGGCTGCCATGACCCTGTTCCGTAAGCTCCATGGAGTCCCTATCCTGCCCTTTTATGAAGGCTTCATGGACATGGGAGATCATTATGAGCAAGTGCAACAATATTCTAGCATCAGGATTCAACTGTCTAGTTGGACTAAGGCCTTGAGAAAGGCCTGGGTCCAGATCAGTAGGTGGACCCAGGACCATTTAGGAATCAGGCCTAGGAAGCCATTCCTACGGGGACAGAATCTAGGACTCCCTATATACTCTGTTCAAAAAAAGGGGCAGAAAGGTTCTAGTGTGTTTCTATTTAATTAAATACTAACCATGTCTGAGATGGGTAATTTCAGTTAGGGCAACAGACTGCCCTGGGATTGTTGACTGAAATGAACACATACATTCTTACCACCTGGTTTATATCAGGGGTCAGCAAACTCTTTCTGTAAAAGGCAATATAGTAAATCTTTTTGGCTTTTCAGGCCATTTGATCTCTGTTGCAATTACTCAACTCTGTCTTTGAAGTGCAAAAGCACCATAGCTAGTACTTAATGAATAAATATGGCTGTGTTTGGATAAAGCTTATTTCCAAAGCAGATGAAGACTCTGATTTGGCCCCAGGGGTTGCTGACCCTGGTCTTTACTGAGCATTGTAAAGTAAATTACAGACATTAATGGACACAGTCTATGACTTTGTCTCTCCCCTAGTCAATCCATATCCCTTTCTAAAACCTTCCTAAAAAGAGCCTGCTCAGGTTTTATCCAGCAAGTGGTGCTTAAACTGAGCTTGCCTTGTGATTAATGAATTCCAGTAGCATGTATTGATCACCTACTGCTGTAGCTGGTGGTGATTCTTAAGACACAGTTCCTGGCTATCAGGTGTGACTCAGTTGGTTAGAGTGTCGTACCATACACCAAAAGGTGGCGGGTTCGATTCCTGATCAGGGCACATATCCAGGTTGTGGGTTTGATCCCAGGTCAGGATGTATGCGGGAAGCAAATAATCCATGTCTGTCTGTCTGTCTCTGTCTCTGTCTGTCTCTCTCTCTCTCTCTCTCAATGTCTGTCTGTCTGTCTGTCTCTGTCTGTCTCTGTCTCTCTCTGTCTGTCTCTCTCTCTCTCTGTCTCTCTCTCTCTCTCTCTCTCTCTCTCTCTCTCTCTCTCTCTCTCTCTATCTATCTCTATCTCTCAAATTAAGTAAATAAATGAAGACACAGTTCTTGCCTAAGAGAAGTCCGGGCTCTATCAGTGAATGGATTACATATAGGAGGTATTAAGAACTTTAGCAGAGCTACGGATGAACCACAAGAGATGGTACAATTAAATTCAGGGCAAAGTAATGGAGGGCCTTATAGAGGAGGTGGCATTGAGCTGAGTTTTAAGAATAAGCAGGAGTTTTTCACAGTAGAAGGCTACCTCCAGCAGAGGGAACATGTAGGCAAAGGGGGATACCAAAGGCCAGGGTACTTCAATAAATTAGTACAAGTTAAGTCTAACTGAAGCCTAAAGTGTGTGTGGCAGAATGGTGAGAGTTAAATCTGGATAAATAAATTGAGGACCAATTATAAATGGCTTTATCTGTTAAGCTAAGGAGTTTAAACTGAATCCATAGGCCAGGCAGCCAGGAGAAAGCAGAGGAGTTTTGAAAGCAAGGGTCATAAGATCATATTTGGTTCACAGAAGGAATAACCCTGATTACAGTGTGAAAGATAAATAGGAAGAGGCAGGAGAGACGGAGACTGAGATAAGAGTCTAGGTGAGAGATAATGAGAGCAGTGGGAATGGAAGGAGGCATGGATTGAATAGCCATTTCTGGGGTAGAATGAACAGGATTTAGTGATTGTGTGGATTGGAGGTTAGGCAGAGAGAGTGATTTGGGGATGACAGTTGGATTTCTAGCTCGGAGATGGGGTGAAATGAAATACCATCCCTGGAGATGGAGAATACAGGAGCTAGGATGGGGTTTTTTGAAGGAAAATAATGAGCTTAGTTTGCACCAGGTAAGGTAGAGGTGCCTGAGGGAAATCCAAGGCAGTTATAACACAGAATGAAGCACAGCAAGACCCTATGCCTCATATCATGACTCAGGAAGTCTGATGGCCCGAGAGACAAGTTATATTAATGGATTGTGACAGTAGAATCATTCTAGTAGCTGGGAAGGGAATGGCATACGAAGAGTACATCCAAAATAGTTTGGATTTAAAACACCTAGAGCTGCACAGAAGAAAACTCAGCATCATCTAGGTCTCTCTAGGATGCCTGTGACTGAGGCAATGGGATCTCACAATGAATTTGGGTTCCTTAGATAGCCCACTTTCACCCAGGCTCTTTGTAGAAACACCAAGGCAAGACTGTGGGATTCCTATGCAGAGTGATTCCACAGCAAAGCAGTGATGAAATGACCAGCTAGTATAGGAAGAGACTCTCTGGGGAGCTCCTGCACCATGTGGAGTGGGCGAGCTGTGATTCTCCACTTTCCCTCTGATATTGTCCTGAGATATATATATTTCAATGCTAGCCTTAAGTCTAGGGTGCAGGATCTGCATCTTCATGGAGGAAATGTATATTCTGCATCAATGTAAATTATAGAAAACTAACACAGCAGGCTGACTTTGCTGGCTGTCCCACCCTCTCTTTGTCCTTCCTTGCTTTTAGTGAGACCCTATCCCTGGTCTACACCCCCTTTTCTCCCCTCCTGTCATGATCACACAAGCTGCTCAGAGACCTCCATCGCAGTTTTCACTCCTGAAGTTTCTCCTATCTCTTACTTGCCTTTCCCCACTACTTTCCTTCATCTGTACTCCACTTTGAGATCTGTCTAAAGGTCACTTTGATAGTTAGGCTCTACTGGCAGTTTTTTCAAGAGCTAGAGTCCTAGCTGGTTTGTCTCAGTGGATAGTGTGTCAGCCTGTGGACTGAAGGGTCCTAGGTTCAATTCCAGTCAAAGGCACATGCCTGGGTTGTGGGCTCGATTCCTGGTGGGGGGCATGCAGGAAGCAGCTGTCAATGATTCTCTCTCATCATTGATATTTCTCTCTCCCTTCCTTTCTGACATCAATTTAAAAAAAAGAAAAGAAAAAGCTGGAGCCCTGGGCAGGTTCTGACTTGATATTGGAATTAGATGTGGTCTTTAATCCTAAAACCTGACCCCAGGCTCTGTCCTCAACTCTGACGGCACAGCTTTTAGTCCCTACCTGTGCTCTGAAGCCCATTCCCTTCTCTTCCAAGACAGGGCCTTGCTTCACTGTGGTGCTCATTCCTGCCAATATTTCTCACTTCTGCCCTAAAGTAAATTCCCTCACCCTCTCATAGTTCACATGTCCCTCTTTCTACTATCCTATCTCTTTTTATAATAAAATTATTCTATAGGCCTGTCTCTTCTCTCTCTCTCTCTCTCTCTCTCTCTCTCTCTCTCTCACACACACACACACACACACATTCTCCTTCCCTCTCACTCTGGCTCTCACTTTCAACTTCTTTTGTAAAAGTATATTATTAGAACAGTAAGAAGCATATACTGGCCAATGCTACTTCCTCCGATACGGCACTGAAACTCTGCTGAAAAGCCACCACCAATCTCCTAATTGTCAAATCCTATTGCCATCTTCTAACTTCTTTCCTCTTTCACATATAACACCATGCCACTCATTTCTTTGATTTTGAGGGTTCTCTCTCTCCTTGTTCTCCTCTCACCCTTCTGAGCACTCTCTCTTAATTGCTTTCGGGGTTTCTCTCTTTCTTTACCTCTTAAATACTTAACCCTCAATTCTTCTGAGGTCTATCCTTAGCCTGCCTCTCTTCTTGTTCCACATTCTCTTTCCCAGTTCCAAAACCAACAACTCTCAATCCAGACTCTTCTCCTGGGCCCCAGGTGGACATTTTTGGTCTCTGCACACGTTAGTCCCCCCGGCATTCAATATGGACCATGTTCGCCATGCTGCTCCTCATTTCCTTCCCAGGGCTATGGTCCCACCAACCAGGCAGGCACCTGACAAGAAACTGTCTCACCACTTCTTGTCTCTATTAATAATATGGCCTCAAAACACTGATCCCATCTTGCTGTTCTATATCTTCTTCTGTTTATTCACTACTTGTTGACAGTATAATTTTATTTATTTTTTTAGTCTTATAAAAATAACATCATTGAATTATTTTTCTCCTATATAATTCCATTTGTGCTGAATTTTCTTTAAAATCTCTAATAACATGGCATACATTTTAACAGTAGATTAGGAAAAATAACATAATAGTTCAGTACATCTATATTTTTCTCCTAATGTTGTAGGTTGCTCAATCATATTATACTCACTACTAGATGAAGTAGCCCATCCAAAAAAAATAGACTTTCCAAACTTGGGACTGGAGTTTTCCTGTTTCCATTGACAGGAAAATTGATTTCATGAAATTAGACTTACTTATTTATAAGTGGCCTTGACTAGGCATATATACAGATATATTATAATTTATTTTTATAAAATTCAATTAACACTCATTGTGGTGGTAAAAAAAACTTCAATTCTTTTGGATAAAATCCTGCTTAATGACTAATTTTTAGCATTACTACATGAAGTTGTGTAAGCATCCTATATTGCTAATAATAGACTTATTACCCTTAGAATATAAGATGCTCCTATCCCGTGGAGGAGAGGAAAAAAATATTACAAACTGACCTAGGAGAAACATCCCACACCTGAAAATTGGGAAATGTGGTATTCTCAGTGCTGAAGCTAAATACTTATTTTCTTGGCTCAAAAATTTATATTTTTTCTATTTTAATATTTCAGAGATTGGGGTGCATCTAGTTAGTGTGTTGTGGTCTTCTTTTTAAATACTTAAAATTGATAGTGTATCGCACAGTGACCAACAAATTAAAAATAAAATCTGATATCCGCCTGACACTGGGTGAATCACCTATTTCTTAAGGGTTCTGTTTCCTCATTTATAAAATAAGGGATTGTTTCCAGAATATTCTTCCTTTAGTAAAATTATATTATTAGAATAATAAAAAGCATATATTGGCCAATGCCAGAAACACTTACTGGGCATTATATTAGTGCATGTGAGGCTTTAAACAGAATGAAATCCTGCAGTTTACCCTCTAGGGAAGCTGCAGATGATGGGGGAGATGCAGCCCAAACTAAAGGTATTCTTGACAGTCCTCCACAACCTTAAATGCAAATAAAAAGCATTCAATTTAAGTACTACTTGAGAGCTGAGAGTCCTGGCCAAAAAAAGTTATCACCTGGGAAGAGTCAATCAAGGTCAGAAGCCAGAGAAGCCAAGCACCTTGAAGGCTCTGGCAGCTGAGCAGCTGGCAAGCGCAGACAGAATCCCCACAGCCACCCGGGAGGAACGTGGACCTGCACTGCTGGGAAAAGCTAAGCCTGAACACATGGGCTAATGCAGATGATCATCTGCATTCATCCAGAGAAGACATGAGCTCAGAGTCGAAGAGCTTGTCTGTGATAAATGCAAAATTCTGGGTAATGAATTATGAGAGAAATGTTTGGAAATCAGAGACCAGATGGCCTTTTGGAATTGCTAGTAATCCTGCTTTAGGGCATACATTCATATTCCTAGGATGCTGCTCCAAATCTGTTTTCCTCCCCTTAAAGATCTGCCCTAACCCTGAAAGGGACTGACCATAACACATCTGCTTGTGCAGCTGCAGGGAGCAGCCCTGGACTCCAGGTGTTGGCCCTTCACGCCCTGCTACACTCCTCCTGTGTCTTCTTACTGTGCTGACACCATTTGTCTCCTCTAAGGCAAGCCAGTGTGGTGGGAGTAGAAATGTGTGGAGCTGGTAGGCAGGCTTTTGTTTTTAGGTTTATAAAAAGAACAGAGAACATATATAACAAACATCTGAGTTCCCACCACCAATATGTAACCATTATTTCCATTTAATCACTCATTCTTGCTGCAAATAAAGTTAAAGTCCTCGCTTGTTTTCTTTAAGAGTCTCTTTCTCTGCCTCCTCTCTCCAGGGGAACCACTACCACGAATTTGGTTTGGGGCTGTTTAAATTCCACTCTTAGAACTGGAAGTTGTGTTAGGGTCTAAGCTTTTCTGATTTTCAAATAATGATATTAAATCCTAGAAGAATTAAATAGTTAATCCAAATACCCCCCCCTTTTCTTTTCCTCTCCCTCTCCCATTCTGAATTTATCCAGCAGTCACCATTTGCTCATCTATGCTATGAAAACTTTTAAGAAAATAAAAGAAAAAAAGGAAGGGAGGAAAAGGGAAAGATAAACATGGCATGGCTTAATTTCTCTGAGCAGGAAAGTGATATTTACACATGTGAAACAGGAAATGATGCGACAGTATAGGATTAAAGGTTAACGTCCATATGATGAGGGCCAAGTATGGAACATTAGGAGGTACTGTGCACCATCTGGAAGAGGACCGTTAGTACTGACTGGGTTGTTGGGAAAGGTTCTGCAGGTGGGGTCCACGGTGGGAGGGTTCACTTTGATCCTGATGCAGAATGAAGAAGAGGAAGGGATGAAAGAAAGGTCACAGCAAGATGTGCTGGGAATAGTGGAAGACAAGCTTATGAAATCATCAAAGTGTGGAGGAGACAGATTGTGGCAGTGCCATGTATCAGCTGAACAAATTTTTACCTATAAATTGGTAATTGTCTCTTTTTTCAACCATAACATCTAATAAATGGTGATAGCTTAACAAAAGACACTCAGTAGTGAGAAGGCAAATTGGTAAAACTTTTTTGAAGAGGACTTTGTCTCAGAAGCTCAAATATGAGTGTTCTTAAACCAGCAGTCAGCCATGTGCTTTTGAATAGAAAAAGAACAAATTAAATGTTTTTAAAAGGCCATTATAATTACATATATTTTGTATTTAAAATGGCATATAGTCATAGTAAAACATATGGAACCAGGATATATTAAAATTTAAAAAACATAGAAAACCAAACACACAGTATATTTTGTTTAAAAAATATATATGCACATAGGAAAAAGACTGGGGGAATCAACAACGATTATTTCTGGGAGGCGGAATCGCTCACTTGTGATTTCTCTTTCCTTCTTGTTGTTTGTTCAGATTTTCTAAAATCCCTTCCATGAACATGTTTGCTTTTGTAATAAGGAAGAAAATTATAAAATGGCAAATCATAACAAGTATGTTTTTGTTGAAATAATCTGAATCTCACAGAGCCAAAAAATCTAATTATCCTCATTTATGAAAAATGAATTAATTTCACTGGTTCTAAGAAGATGAGATGTAATGTTCTGGTGGTCATAAGTCCCAAATGGTGATGTGATTGAAAAAGAAAACACACACTCCTAAGAGTGTAAGGGGGTAAAGAATAACTTAGGGGGCCTTAAGGCTTGAATACGGTAATGATTTAAAGGCTCAGTTAATTCCTTTAAGAAAACCATGCTGCCACATGCACTTCTTCAAAGGAATATTCTCGCCTGACAGATAGTGTATCTGAAGTGTAGCCTCATGTCCAGTGACATTTTTATGTTTGATAAACTGCTCCTCAGGCAACTTTCTCTTTTTTCCGTGTGTGTGTGTGTGTGTGTGTGTGTGTGTGTGTGTGCGCGCGCACGCGCTTAAAATGAAATATGTGCAAACAAACAAAAACCTAACAGTATTTCTTCCCTGAAACAGGTATGTCTCAGATTTTGCCACTAGCTTACCAATAATTTTGGGGCAGTTCCTTATTCATTTGGAGCTTTAGATTCCCCTCTAGACAATGAAGTACTGAGAAAATGTTCCTCTAGCCTTAAAATTATCTAGCTTTATGATTATAACAAAAGTTCTCATTCAAATTGTCATATGTACACACAAGATCAATCTGAAAGAAACATGAATACCTAGTGAACCAGTTTTACCTCCATTTGTACCAAGAGTTGTACAAAAGTTTGGGGCTAGTGAAAATCCACTACTGTGTTTGACTTGAGTGCCTATTTCATAGGACCGATGACTAGATCAATCCCACTGGAAATATCTGCTTTGATTTACCTCATAGTACTTGAATCATTGTAAATATATGTATACACCAATAACAGGATTGATTAGTGTTTCCCCCATTGTGTGTGTGTGTGTGTGTGTGTGTGTGTGTGTGTGTGTGTGTGTGTACTAGTATATACACATAAACCCACACAAAGTGGTAGGAAAAATCCGTAATGTAAGTATTCAGGGATGCATGACATAGAAGAGGTGCTCATCTCCTGGGCTTTATTGAAAGAATTAATATTGGAGAGTTGGGGAGAAGCAGCATGCTGAATTTTCCCTTAAATATTCCCAAAAGCGAACTCACTTTTTTGACTTGATATCACTAGAAACAAAAATGTGAACTTTTTGTGTAGGTCAGTATCCTCGGAGCCCAGGACAAAGAGAATGAGCCTCCAGAGCCTACCTGGGCTGACAGCCTGGCCACCACACCTTCACCTGAGGCTGCCACCATCCAGGGGCCATTGCGCAGCCCCTCTGAGGATAGGACCATGGGTCTGGAAGCTACAACTCCAAGCCCCAGTTTGAACTTACAGTGGGGAAAGCTGGTGCACAAAGGTAAGAGATACCTGCCAATCAGCTGCTGCATCTACAATGTGAAGAAGGCACAGAGAAGATGGTCTCTAAAATCTCATTTAGAGAGAATGTATTTTGATTGCAAACAGGGGGAACAGAAGATAATTTCATTTTATTATATATAGAATTAGAAAACTGGCTGGCTGTAGAACAAATTTGTAAAAGAATATTTAAAGCTCTTTAGTGTTTGTTATTACTATTTCTTATTAATTTTATTTTCTTTTTGTTAATGCTCGCCCAAGGATATTTTTTCCATTGATTTTTAGAGAGTGGAAGGGAGGAAGGGGTGCGGGGGGGGAGAAAGAGAGAAAGAAACATCAATGTGAGCGATACATGGCTTGGTTGCCTCCTGCATACACTCTGATCAGTGCTGGGGATTGAACCTGCAACCCAGGTATGTGTCCTTGACCAGGAATCAAACCTGCGTGCGACCCTTTGGTGTACGGGCCAGTGCTCTAACCATTGAGCACACAGACCAGGGCTGTTATTATTTTTAATTTGAATACTTTTACAGAGGGTTGTACTCTTGTATTTGCCACAGTTCCTACCACTCCCTATTATCTTACACATAGCCCACACATATAGACATTTGAGTTTTGAACCTTAGATTGTAGAAGAAAGAAAAAAAGCTAGAATCTAAATTCATCAACATATTTTCTATGGAATTAATATCTATAGAATTAATCATTAGATACACAGTTTGTGAAGAACATGTCAGAGAGACAATATCCCTGCTTAAAAGGAGCAAAAATTGCCTTGAAAAGATGTTACACAATATTATTTATTGTTTTTAAGAATAAAAGTGGTAAAAATCCACTGTTTCTTTCCAATTGGTTCAGAGCGTTCATTTTGTTTTAGAAAGTAAATGACTTGAGACATACTCCAACTCTAGGGAAATGATTATGGGAGATGGGGAGAGGGCTGGCTTTGATATTGATAAATGAAGTTTATGACATATAAACCATTTCACAGAACATGAAAACAGACAGCAAATACTGCTTTGGTCTTTTTGGCCTTGGAATCACATCCTTGGTTAGGAAATATGAATCATGGCACTAAGGCATACCATGACATAAAAAGGGATTTAACAAAGGATTTATGGTTGTAGCTTTGCTTTTTGACAGTGGACATATTTCTGAAATTTATTTATAAACTGACATAAAAGGTCTCGTTTTTATTATGCTACAAGTGCTTCTCTTTATAAAAGAAAATTGTGGCATAAAGAGAGCCCTCTGCTTTACTTTTTTTTGTAACTTAAAGGGATCTTTTTTTTTTTTTTTTTTTTTTTAGCACAATGACACAGATTGCAGTGGTACTTTCTATGAACAAACTGGAAGGGAATGAGTATAGGAAGCCAAAATCATCTTCATTCCAAATATTAATTTGATTTTAAATCAATTCCAAAGTAAATTAGAAAGTCCTATTTTTCTCGTGTCAACTAATCCTCACAAGAATATTGTGCTTTCAGGGAAATATGAATTTTTAATGGGGTTTCATGCAGATTTAAAAAATGTATGTTTTCAAATGAATGAATATCTAATGGTGGAGTTTTGGGTGGTGGAGGAAATGTTTTGGGTATCAGGGAACCCTTCTTTAACTTAGAACAATATTTTCTGAGTTGTGTTAGTGTGCATGGAGAATCAAGTTTATGAAGCTTTTCTTTTTCATCTTTTCAGTGAAAGAAAAACCTATAATAACACATTGCCCTTTTTTTCAACCTAGACCCTAGGTGTTTAGAAGACCTAAAGCCTGGAAACTGTGCTGAATATGTGGTCCGATGGTATTATGACCAACAGGTCAACTCTTGTGCCCGCTTTTGGTTCAGTGGCTGTAACAGATTGCAGTGGTACTTTCTATGAACAAACTGGAAGGGAATGAGTATAGGAAGCCAAAATCATCTTCATTCCAAATATTAATTTGATTTTAAATCAATTCCAAAGTAAATTAGAAAGTCCTATTTTTCTCGTGTCAACTAATCCTCACAAGAATATTGTGCTTTCAGGGAAATATGAATTTTTAATGGGGTTTCATGCAGATTTAAAAAATGTATGTTTTCAAATGAATGAATATCTAATGGTGGAGTTTTGGGTGGTGGAGGAAATGTTTTGGGTATCAGGGAACCCTTCTTTAACTTAGAACAATATTTTCTGAGTTGTGTTAGTGTGCATGGAGAATCAAGTTTATGAAGCTTTTCTTTTTCATCTTTTCAGTGAAAGAAAAACCTATAATAACACATTGCCCTTTTTTTCAACCTAGACCCTAGGTGTTTAGAAGACCTAAAGCCTGGAAACTGTGCTGAATATGTGGTCCGATGGTATTATGACCAACAGGTCAACTCTTGTGCCCGCTTTTGGTTCAGTGGCTGTAATGGCTCAGGAAATAGATTCAACAGTGAAAAGGAATGTCAAGAAATCTGCATTCAAAGATGAGCAAGTAGGCAACCTGTAATGAGTCAAATCTACATCTCTATCAACAAGTCTAGAAAGAACCACTATAATTTCAGCATGTTCACCCAATACAAATAAAGCACCATGTTTGATTGTATACTGAGTATTTGGAATTTATAAACATAATTGAATCCTTGCATCCACACTGGGATGTAGGTGTTAACCATTTTTACAGATAAAGAAGCTGAGGCTCTGACTTTAGTAACTTGTCAATAGTCACCCAACTAACAAATGGCAGGCTGAGGGTTTGGCTTAGAACTGTGCAAACTCAATACATAGGCCTTAGTATCTACTTCACAACCTGCAATGTGGTTCTGATTCCTGTTCCTTCCTATTCGATGTATTGTGTTGGATTAAACTCCTTCCCCAGCCTAGCCCCCTGTTCCTCCTGGCCCCCTGGTCCCTTCTACCCGCTTCAGTCCCCCAAACCTCTCACAGCCCTGACAGTAGCAAAAAGATAGGTAGTTGGTAGGGAAGGACTAGAGTTTGGGAATCAGGAGTGATGGGAGTAGGTAGGAAGGGATGAGATCAGAAATATATCCTGCTTGAAAGAAACCTAGAACATGAAATGGTTCTGAGATGAGAGGATAGGAGCTGAAGTGGTGGTTAGATTTTTGCCTCACTTGCTCTGAAACTGAGTAAGAAACCAATCTGAAATAAAATGACTTAACACAAATGGATTAACAACTGTCACTCCGCACTCCTCCAACATATTTGGTGACAAACCGTTATTGTGTGTTTAAACTATATATTGAAAACAAAAAGTGTAATTTAAACGAAGGAACTTTTCTCACCCTTCCTTTAAAATATGTAAATGTGACTTTCAACTTAAGGGGGATGGGAAAAGATGGCACTTGACAACCAAGAACTACTTAAAGCTCACATCCTCACTCTCTCTCTCTTTTTTTTTTTATTGTTTAAAGTATTACATGTCTCCTTTTTTCTCCGATTACCCACCCCCCGCCACTCCTACCCCCAGTGTCTGTGTCCATTGGTCATGCTAATATGCATTCACATCCTCTCTTGAGCAGGGTATTGTAAAGATAGGTCTTAGGCTGAAAAATGAGCCGCCAAATTGAAATATGACCCAACAGAGTAATAGAGAATTGGCTCTGTCATTTTATAATAATTTTTCGACATCCAGTCTAGGAAGATCAGTTCTGAGCTCAGCTCAGACAGCACTTGTATATATATCATCTCACAGCACCCTTTCTTCGTCCAGGCCTGTGACCCTCATTCAAGGTCAGTGGTGCAAAAAAAAGCATTCAAGGAAGGAGGTGCTGAAGAACAGCCATCTTAGCAAAACTAATTTTGGGTAGTTTGATAAAATTTTCGATGTAATATTTAATACTACAAAAGAATATATGTGATACACTTGTAAGTAAAAATGTGATAAGATGAATATTTCACACAGAGAACGACCGAACATGACCCATTCTGTTGAAGCTTCCTGTGTAAACCTCTACTATCCTAGCTCCCTATTTTCTGCCAGGGATATTTCATCTTGAATTTTGTGTTTACCATGTCACTTTGCTATTGGCTTTTATATGTAATTTTACGTGTAAAACCACATATATCTCTATGTATCTCTAAACAATACACAGTCTTGCTTATCTTAGGACTTTATAAAAATGGTGTCATACTCTAGTTTTTGCAACTTGCTATTTTCATTCAATATTATAATTAATCCATGTCTTACCATATTGTGTTCCTAAAAATATCTAAATGTGTTTCTAAGAATTTATTACTTAGGTTTTTTAAGCTTTACAAAATTTGTTTTATAATATATAATTCTTTGCAACTTGGTGTGCTATTACATTATAATTCATACACATTCATTTACTTTTATAGTTGAATAATATTTGTGTGAACATATCACAACATATTTAACCACTGTCCTGTCTATAGTCAATTAAATAGTTTTTATTTATTTATTTACTTTTTACCATTTCAGCAACATTGCAATGAATGCTCCTATACATGGCTTTGGGTGCACATGCAACAGTATTTTTCTAGGACCTATAGCTAAAAATGAAATTGCTGGGTTTCAGAATATGTAAACATTCAAAAATAATATATCATTGCAAACCAATTTTTCCCCCAAGATGTTTGAACCAGTTCACTATAAACTCTCATCACTGTGCATAAGAGTTTCCATTGCTTGATATTCTTATCAACACTGAGTATTGTCAGACTTCTTTTGCTAATACTGGGTAGAAAATCATATCTTGTTGTTGTTGTTGTTGTTATTGACAGTATAACAGATGTCCCCCATTTTTTCACCACTCCACTATAGACCTTTACCCCACTATTGTCTGTGTCCATGGGCTATGCCTGTATGCATATAAGTTCTCTGGTTAATCTCTTCTCTCCCCACCCCCTTCCCTCTGAGATTCATCAGTCTGTTCCATGCATCCATGTCTATAGATCTATTTTGTTCATCAGTTTATTTTGTTCATTAGATTCCACATATAAATGGGATGGGTCTTTGTCCCTTTGCCTGAAACATCCTTTTCCTCCTTCTGTGATGACCAAATCCTAATACTTCAAGGACAACTTGCAGGCCTCCCTTCTCCTTTGTGGTACTTTTTCATCAGCTGGACCATGCCCAACACTGAGGACCCAAAGCACTTGGCTTATGCCTCCTTTCTACCCTTAGTCTGAAATGACTTGCATTTAGTGGATAGCATTCATTGGTTTCCTTTTGCTGCTCTAACAAACTACTACAAATTTGGCAGCTAAGCAACACAAATGTATTACTTTATAGTTCTGTAGGTCAGAAGTCTCATGCAGGTCTCCCAGGAATAAAATCCATGTGTCAGTGGGGTTGTGTTTTTTCTGGTTTCCTTACCTTTTCCAGCTTCTAAAGCAGTGGTTCTCAACCTTGGCTGCACATTAGAATCACCTGGGAATCTTTTTAAAATCCTGATTTCTGGGCCTCATCCTCCGGAAATTCTGTTTCTTTGTTACTAATGTTGTGGCCCCACCTCATAACAAAGAAACAGAATTTCCGGAGGATGAGGCCCAGAAATCAGGATTTTAAAAAGATTCCCAGGTGATTCTAATGTGCAGCCAAGGTTGAGAACCACTGTTCTAAAGCCTGCCCACTTTCCTTGGCTTATGGCCCTTTCCTCTGTCTTCAAAGCCAGCAATGGCAGGTTGAATGTTTCCATTGCTCTGATTCTCTGACTACAGCTGGGGAGTTCTCTGCTTCCAAGGACTCATGTGATTAGATCAGGCCCACCTGGATAATCCAGGTAGTCTCCCACCTCAAATCCTTAATCTTAATCACATCTACTTATTTCCCTTTGTGGTGTAGGCTAACTGTTTAAAGGTTCTGGGGACTAGGGAATGGGTATAGTTGCAACAATTATGCCCTCAATCACAGCATCTGTATTCTCTTCCAGCACTCTGATTTTAGGAGCAAAGACATGTCTTATTTATATCTGTGTACCTAGCTCCTGGCCCATAGGAAGAACTCAATACATTAAAAATATATATCAGAGCTCACTTTTTTATTACATAAATAGGTAACTACTTGGAAGAAGGGAATAGAAAAAGATCAGAAGAAAATCATACCATTTAAAAGGAGAATAAGAGAAAAATGGTATGTTAGTAAGTAAAATTATTATTTTCTCTCATCCACTTTGTGATTCAAAATACCCCCACCCCTTCTTCCCCACCATGATTAGCAAAACGAAGAGAAAAGTAAGAGGGAGTGTTGTCTAGCTAGATAACAGATCTAAGAGGGGGACTTGAACAATCTGAAAATTAATTCTGGAAAAGAGAATGATAATTTGTTTTCCTTCTCAGCTAGTTAAAAAGCCAATAGAGCTGGAGGAGATATTTGACATTTTATTCCTCTATTCTCAAAAGAAAAAAAGACAGACTATGTACAAAATGTGCTGGAAATAAGAATGTGTATCTAAAGAAGTCTCCATTTTTAATTTACATATATATATATCTTAAGTGATCAATTCTGTCATTTTCATTCAGTTGAAACAGCTTTGACAACTGTAAGAAATGCTTTAGGGGGGAAAAAAGAGGAACAAATGTAATAATCTGAACAATAAAGATTTAATAAATTAAAAAAAAAGCTCTAATCAGGGGTCTGAAGAGCATGCTAACTGTATAAAATGCCAATTAGGCTTGGTGATTTTAAACCTAATGTTTATCCTAAACACAAGAAAAAGTAAATGAGAGAATGGGAGAAAAATATTTGCAAGCAACATGTAACAGAATTGTTTCATGATTCTAATAAACCAAGAGATCCCATAAAGCAAAAAGAATAAAAAGGAAAAATGATAGCGATTGTCAATTCAAAGGAGATAACCCTATGAAGAGATGTTCAGCCTCATTAACTGCAGAGAAATGCATGCATGCTAAGTAGGTCTGGGATATGGCTGGAACACCCACGGGGAAGTCTGCTGAGTAACCCTGGCTGAAAACCAGCAAGGAGACCTCTGCATTATGCCAACCTTAGCAGAGACTCTACTACTTGACTATTTGACTTGGAATTTTAGGTGTTCGGTTATTTAAGCCCCCTTTCTCTATAAGTCTATAATTTGATGGCTTTTGTGAGTAGCAATGCAAAGATAGATTAATGCTGTTGAAGTGTCCAAGATTTCCCCCTCTCCTTACAATATCTCTTCTTATGTCACTAAAATAAGACATGTTGTAGAGTGTGTGTGTGTGTGTGTGTGTGTATGATCATCAAACCAATAGCCCCAAATCATATTTCACCCATATATTTATGATACTTTGGGTTTTTTTAAAAAAAATATTGAACTCATTTGAATTTTAAAAGCATTATTTTTTACCATTTTACAAAAATTTGAAAAATTCTTCATTTAAACAGTTCATTTAAAGCCACATCAGACAGCCCAGACTGCATGGCTCAGTGGTCAAGCATCGACCTATGAGCCAGGAGGTAACAGTTCGATTCCCGGTCAGGGCAGATGCCCAGGTTGCAGGCTCAATACCCTGTGTGGAGCATGCAGGAGACAGCTGATCAATGATTCACTCTCATCATTGATGTTTCTATTTCTCTCTCCCTCTCCTTTCCTCTCTGAAATCA